GCGGCCCCGGGGGTGGCGCCGCCGGGCGTCCCCGCGGTCACCCCCTCCTGCTGCTTCTGCACGGGATGCGGGTGTGCGTTCCTGGAGGGCGCGCTGCCGCCGTGGCCGGCGTCCCGGCTGTGGTGCAACTGGTCGTTGTCTGGAGACGTGTCGTCCAGCTCCGTGAAGCACTGCGCCGTGCCGCCGCCACCGCCGCCGCCTCCCCCACCACCACCGGCGGCACCAGGGGAGCCGAGATTACCGCTTCCTGGTCGCTCGGTGCGAGGGGAAGAGCTCTGAGCGCCCAGCTTAGTGTCTCCATTGCTGGATGACAGGAGGGAATCTGCAGCAGAGACGAGAGAGCAGCTGGACGGCTGCCGGAAGCTTCTCTCCGAGGTCGGCGAGCCGAAGCCCCTGGAGTCCCCGACGACTGAGCCGCCACCGAACAGTCCTCCTCCTCCTCCTCCGCCGCCGCCGCCACCGCCGCCGCCGCCTCCTCGGTTGGCGACGGTCAGGTCCATGCCATTGTAGCTGTAGCCATACGAGCCCGACGCATGGTGCATGGTGGCGGAGGAAGAGTCCCTGTACGTCCCGCCGTTCATCGCGCCGCCGCCGCCGCCGCCGCTGGCTCCATAATTTAGCAGTTGATAGTCGGGGCCATTTGGGTAGCGCCCCGAGAAGGAGTTTACAAAGTAAGAGCTCATTTAGGTTGTTTTAGAGAGTTGCAGCCTTAACAGTTAAGTACCACGGGGCGCTTGATTTGTTGGATTTCTCTCGGTCGTTATAACGCGGGTACTTTCAACGATTTATGATGTATTAGTGAATTATGGCGTTGCACTGTACTTCGTTTTTAGCTATGTATGCGCCGTCCAAATATGGGGGTGGGGTGGTGTGTGTGTGAGAGAGAGAGAGAGGGAGAGGGAGAGAGAGAGAGAGAGAGAGTGTGTTGAGGAGAGGGTTATGCCTCTGTGTGTGTGTGAGTGCGTGATGGGGGAGGAGAGGGGTGAGGTGAAGGAGGAGAGAGGGAAACAGAGAGGAGGAGGAGGAGGAGGAGGAGGAGGTGCGGTCACGTGCTTTTGTTGACCAGCCGTAAATTCTCGTCGATGACTTTGGAGAGGTAATTCATGCTCTGAGGTTTCTAATGATGAAGGGGGAGGGCGGGGAGAGAGAGAGAGAGCTCTTTCCCCTCTCTCTCTTTCGTGCACGCGTGCTGGAGGTGTCGGGAGTGAGCTCAGAGCGCCACCTACTGCCATCACAATTTATTGCAGCCGTCAACAAAAAAAGGAAGAAAAGCGAAAAAGAAAAAAGTCAGACTTCAGAGAAGTGGTTCAAACTGCGGGGAATATTTTCTGTATTTGTTGCTCAACGTGCACGTCACAAAGACACAATCCAGCCCATAATCCAGCCCATAATCCAGCATATAGTAGTATTCCAGCTGTGGGAATAAAAATACAAACTGCTGCTGTTTTTCCCCCAAGGAACAAAAAATCCAACAATGACAATAAAAACAACATAATAATAAAAATTAAAATATTAATTCACACTAATTTTGTTTCTAAACATAACATTATTTTATACCATGACGTCAAAATATGTCAAAAGTAAAAACTCATTTTTAAAAAAAATTTTTTTATTTTTTTTTAGTCGTACCATCGACTGAATCTGAACCATCTTGTCTCGGGCTGTTCTCGTGGTTTCAGTTTTACAGACTTAGTGTCAAATCAGACGTGGTGATGACGTGGTGTCAGAGCGCAGATGACGTCACTCTGTTAGAAATACAGTCGGAGCAGGCAGTAGATCAGGGCTGAGCTCGAGCCTTTACTCCTTCTGTTCTTTTTATTTTAACTCTCTCTCTCTCT